TCTCCCATCCTTCCTCTTCCTCTCTTCCCATCCTTCCTCTTTCCTCTCTCCCATCCTTCCTCTTCCTCTCTCCATCCTCTCTCCTTCCCATCCTCCTCTTCCTCTCCTCCCATCTTCCCTCTTCCTCTCCTCCCATCTTCCTCTTCCTCTCCTCCCATCCTTCCTCTTTCCTCTTCCTCTTCCTTCCCTCTTCCTCTCCTCCCATCCTCCTCTTTCCTCTCCTCCATCCTTCCCTCTTCCTCTCCTCCCATCCTTCCTTCTTCCTTCCTCTTCCCATCCTTCCTCTTCCTCTCCTCCCATCCTTCCTCTTCCTCTCTTCCCATCCTTCCTCTTCCTCTCCTCCATCCTTTCCTCTTCCTCTCTCCATCCTTCCTCTTTCCTCTCCTCCCATCTTCCTCTTTCTTCTCCTCCCATCCTTCCTCTTCCTCTCTTCCCTCCTTCCTCTTCTCTCCTCCCATCCTCTTCTCTTCTTCTCCTCCATCCTTCCTCTTCCTCTCCCTTCCTTCTCTTCCTCTCTTCCTCTTTCCTTCCTCTCCCCATCCTTCCTTTCCTCTCTCCCATCCTTCCTCTTCCTCTCCTCATCCTTTCCTCTCCTCTCTTCCATCCTTCCTCTTCCTCTCCTCCCATCCTTCCTCTTCCTCTCTTCCTCATCCTTCCTCTTCCCTCTCCTTCCATCCTTCCTCTTCCTCTCTTCCCTCTTTCCTCTTCCTCTCGTCCATCTTCCTCTCTTCCCATCCTCTTCCTCTCCTCTCTTCCCATCCTTCATCTTCCTCTCCTCCCATCCTTCCTCTTCCTCTCCTCCCATCCTTCTTCATCCTCTCCTTCTTCTTCCTCTCCTCCCCTTCCTCTCCTCCCATCCTTCCTTTTTCCTCTCCTCCCCTTCCCTCTTCCCATCCTTTCCTCTTCCTCTTCCTCCGCCCCTCCCTTCTCTCTCTTCCTTCCATCCTTCTCTCCTCTCTCCCTTTCCTCGTCCTCTCCCTCCTTCTTCCTCCTCTCTCCTCCCATATTCCCTCTTCCTTCCTCCTCCCATCCTTTCCTCTTCCTCTCCTCCCAATCCTCTCCTCCCATCCTCTTCCTCTCTCCATCCCATCCTTCCTCTTCCTCTCCTCCCTCCTTCTCTTCTTCTCTTCCCACCCTTCCTCTTCCTCTCCTCCCTCCTTCCTCTCTCTCCTCTCTTCCTCTTCCCTTCTCCTTCCTCTCTTCTCTCCTCCCATCATTCTCCTCCTCTCCTCTTCCTTTCCTCCCATCCTTCCTCTTCCTCTTCCTCTCTTGCTCCTCCCCTCCTCTTCCTCTCCTTCTCTCCGCTCCTTCCCACACCCTTCCAAAAAAAACCCTAATCCTCATCCTTCTTTCCCCCATCCTCTTCCTTCCATCCTCCCCTTCACCCCCATTCCAAAAGAAAGAAAGAAAGAGAAATGATTACGACACTCAAATAGACCTCTCCCCCCCTCCCTCCCTCCCCAGTACCCTCCATGGCAGATTTTCGAGAAGGATAAGTCGGGTCGAGTCGTCGGGTATTCGGGGCTCATGTTCGAAGTCCTGAATGAGCTTGCTTCGAAACTCAACTTCACGTGAGTATTGTTTGTTTACTTGGATTTGGGTTGATTTTTTTGGGGGGGTTAGTTGTTTATTTGTTTGTTTATTGTTTGTTTGTTTATCTATTTCGGGTTGGGTTGATTTTGGGGGGGTTATTTTTTTTTTATTTATTTCGGATTGGGTTGATTTCTGGGTTTTTATTTGTTTATTTTATTTATTTATTTATTTTGTTCGGGTTGGGTTGATTTTCTGGGGTTATTTATTATTTATTTATTTATTTATTTATTTATTTATTTCGGATTGGGTTGATTTTCTGGGGTTATTTTTCATTTCATTTATTTATTTGTCTATTTATTTATTTTAGAGTTTGGGGTTTTTCTTTAGCTTGAGTTTATTTTTCTTTGTTTTGCTTTGTTTGCGAGTTTGGGTTTTGTTTGTTTTTGTTTCGGTTCTTCTCTTTGATATTTATTCGTCTGTATCGTTTTTGTTTGTTTTTGTTTAGAGTTTGGGTTTTCTTGTTTTTTTTTTCTTTTTTGCTCATGTTTTTAGTGTTTTTTTTCTTTTCTTTTTAGAGTTTCGGTTTTTTTCTTTGAATAGGCCTTTTGTTCATTTTTTTCTTCTATTTTGCGTGAGAGAGAGCGAGGGATGGGGGAGGGGGGTGGATGTGACCGTGTGTATTTTATTTGCATGAACGTTATGTCACTATGGCAAAGTTCTTCAAAAATAGATAAATAGATAAAAAAAAAAAAAAAAAAAAAAAAAAAAAAATATATACTATATATATATATATTAATATATATATATATATATATTATATAATATATATACATATAAGAATCAAGGAGAGAAAGAAGAAAATATACGAACGAACGAACACAGGAGTCAATATCACGCCAGCCTTATTATAGTTTATATGGCATTACAAACGTATACCAATAAAGATGAAATAGCATGACCCAGATAT